TAGTCCCTGCAGTTGTCACACACACATCTGGCGACCTCCTCCTGGAGTGTTGCTGTGTCTCTAGATGCTTAATCTGGAAATGTGGTGCAGACAGTGGTGGTGAGGAGCGTGGGGGCTGGCAGGATGCCAAGTTGGCATCTTGGTACTGGTGCTGCTCAGAGAGAGATGCCCAGGAGTAGATAGCCCATACTTAACCCAGTATATGGACACTACCCATGCCTGTCTCTGTTACATTGGTTTTATTTTTATGCTTCCTTGATTGACTGCAAGGAGCCCTGATTGCATAGTGGGTTAAGTGTTAGGCTGCTAATCCAAAGGTCAACATGTCAAACTCACTAACCATGGAAGAAAAGTCAAGCAGTTTGCGTCCATCAAGAGTCACAGCACAGAAACCCTTCAAAGCAATTCTCTGCTGTGCTTTAGGGTTGCTGTGGGTCAAAGCAGACTAGGTGGCAGTGAGTTTGGGTTTGTTGGCTGACTAAAACCAATTGTGATTTGTTATCCATCCTTTATTGAGAGTCCTTAGCATTTGCCCCTCAGAGATGATCGTTGAAGACATGGAAAACAGAGGTTATATGTAGAGGAAACGGTCAAAGCAAACATTAGGAAATCTATGACTGTGGGCACAAGTGAAAGAAGAGAGCTCAGAAGAGTGGGAGAGGTAGCAAGAAGCTTAAGTGTCCTGGACACCCAAGGGAGAGTTTAAAACACGTGAGTAGAGGCATTGGTGCAAATACTAGAACAAGGGAGTAAGAGGACTTGTCCCCCTAGGTGTACAAACCGTTCATGTACTTGACTACTTGCCAAAAGGTTGGCCGTGTGAGACTTCCCAGGAGTATCTTGAAAAAGAGGACCGCAGATCTACTTCTGAAACACCAGTCCTTGAAAACCCTGTGGAGCATTCCTCTCCTTTGACACCTGGATTCGCCACCTGTTGGCACCAACTCAGTGGTCATCGGTAAGAAGTGAGAAGGGAGACTGAGCATATGACAGGCACCTGATGTGATAGAATGTGATGGCAACAGTCAACCTGTCCCAGCCACTAGATACTTCCCTAAGGGCCCTCTGTGGATTAACTCTTACTTCTCACCACTGCCCTATGAAGTCACGACCATTGCTTTTTCCCCCTGGAAACATTGATGGTGACTCTTCATACCTCTAACCCAGGATTTTGCAATTCCCCTTTGACCTCGCCTTTTATTTCTCTTCTTCCTGGGTGTTTCCATAGACTTCTTAGAGTTGCCTCCTAGTATTGATAATAAATACATAGACTAATTGCTTCTCATCTGCAGTCTCAGTTTCCACACCCACAAAAGGCACCCGATTAACTAGCTAAACACCAGGGTAACTTCCAACGTGACTGTGTACCTTCAAGTTTAAAGAGACTCCCCTCTTAGTAAAAAAATCTGTGATTTAGTGAAGTTTAGTTTTCTCTATCAGATGACCAAATAGATCAATTTGGTTAGGAATGGCATTGACATAGTTCTGTCAGTTAGAGTTACATACTAAAGTATTTATGTTTGATGTTGACATCACGTCTGGAGATACTTTTAAAACACTCCATTTCCTAAAAGGCAAGGTGACAACAAAAATAGAAGGGTAAAGGAAGCAGAATCAGAACAATATTCATATTTTTTAAGCCAAGTTATGAATATATGGGGTTCATTATACTAGTCTTTCTGCTTTTGGTATGCTTGAAAATTTCCAGAATAAAATTATTTTTGAATTGACATTACTAATCTCCCTGATTGGTGCTGTAAAATTAATGCATTTTCTTACCTCTCTCTTTAAGAACTAGATCTAGATTTTTGGCTTCTGTGAGTTTACATTCTATCCCTACTATCCTAGCACTGCCCACCTTGGACAATTGATGGAACAACCATTCTCTATTTCACTGTAACTTCTAAAATAATTTTGTAATTCTCTTTTTCCATCTGCATCTGTCAGCTAGGGGTGTTCTCCAGTGAAAAACTTGCCCAAAGGAAAGGCAGGAGAAACTCATCCTTCTCGTTCCTTTATTTATCAATCTATTGAGTAATGAACTGGCATCTTCGTAAATTCTAATGATCATCATTGAGTTTCTTTTGAAATCAGTTTCAAAATCAATTTTGTATGAAGGGGCTCAAAACATTAGTGGAAAAATCTATATGATCTTTTAATTCCATTTTCCCACAAACTTTTTGAAGCCTCCTCATGATGCTGAACCTTCACCCCGTCTTCCAGAGCGTCCCACTTTTCTGCTCATCTTGTACTGCTTCTGGCCTAGGCCCTGACCCAGGCATTTTTACAAGGGCCCTCTTATTCATTTTGATGGGAAATGGTATTTAGAGACCTCAATCTGGACCCAAGCATTACAACACCATAACTGCTTTTATTTTCCCTACCGTTTTAGCCTTTTCATGGACAAAACAAGGACATATTCTTGTTTTGAGAGTACGTTCTGACATTTCTGATTAAGAATTACAATTATGATTTCTAATTGTTTTATTTGTATCACATACACTGAACATCTTAGCTCTTACAGAGACATTAAGATATTATTATTTGCCTCATCCTAGGTTTTACTTGTAGTGTTTTCAAAATAATAGTAAGAATATTCATCTAACAATAAGACAATTAATGCATGTTAAACATTTCCTCAGTCTTTCTCTTTCCAGGAGCCCTGGTGGCATAGTGGATTATGCATTGGGCTGCTAGCCACTAGGTCTGCAGTTCAAAACCACCAGGCACTCTTTGGAAGAAAGATGTATTATATCTTGTACTCCCATAAGGAGTTACAGCCTCAGAAAATCACAGGGTCAGTTCTGCCCTGTCCTAAAGGGTCACGATGAGTCAGCACTGACTCCGCGGCCGTGAGTTGTGTCTTTCCCTCTCGTTGTGTATGCGGATGCACAAAGGCATTTGTCAGCCTAAATTCCATTAGGTGGAATGTTAGTGTTGGCTTCGACATCATCTCTCAGAAATAATCCAATTATAAAAATTGTATTGGCCTTGGAATGAGTTTATAAGACTCTCTCCCTGTGTCTCCCTAAGGGAGAAGGGGCATCTTTGCAAACAATTCCCATATACAGTACCAGATTTAATTATTTCAAGTTACTCTCTTGTGGTATGGACCCCCTTTATGCACACGTCACATCTATCCTTCCCATGTTGATCCATGGGGGATTAAGCATGGGGAATTTTTGTAAGATGTTCTATAACTAAGTAATTGGTTTTTCTTTGATCCAGGACCCTCATGTTTCCTTTTAGGATAAAATAACTAAAACATGGCCCTTGCGTGGAATTTTGGAGCCAGCTAGACTTTATGGACTTCCTACTGTAATGCACAGGACCAATTAGGAAGTACTATGTCTAAAAAGTTGAACCTACATTAAATTAAGTCTTTGGACTTAATACCAGTTTATGGACGTTTGGGAGCAAAAGAACAAGTTAAATGATGCTTTGTCACAATAATCAAGTACAGCGTGTGGAGCATTATATAATACAAATGACCTAGTTTCTACACATACACGTCAAGGGCATGAGAGCAAAGATAAAGGAAGACTGCAAGACAGTGCAAAAACTTACTGCCATCGAGTCCTTTCCAACCCTTGTGCGACGCTACAGGACAAGGTAGAATTGTCCCTGTGGGTTTCTGAGACTGTAACCCTTTATGGAAGTAGAAAGCCTCATATTTTGCCCATGAAACAGCTGTTAGTTTTGAACTTCCAACCCTGTGATTAGCAGTCCAATGCTTAACCACTATAAAATACAAGAAAGTATAAAACAGCCACCAAATCCAGTATTCAATTAATGTTTAGATTCTGGCTGAAACAAACTAATTATTAGACATTTTTAAAGCTGTCAGGAAAATTTATAATGGCCAGGTTTTAGATGGCCATTTAGGCATTAGGAAATAGTATCAATTTAGTTAGTAATGATATTGGCATAGTTCTGCCAGATATAAATACACACTGAAGTATTTATGTATGATGCTGACTACAGGTCTGGATTTAGCTTTAAAATACTCCAGTCCCTCAAAAAATCAAGCTACAAACAACAGGGAGAAGGACAGGTGAAACCCCATCAGAAAAGGATTGGGTTATTTTTAAGCCAAGTAATGGGTACATAGGGTTCTTTATACTATTTTCCCACCTTGGATAGGTTTGAAAATTTCTGGAATAAAATCACGTTTAAATTATCAGCAGTATAGACCTGAGTTCAGTTTTCAGCTGTGGCCTATACATGAATCCCATGGAGAAAATTCCTTGATTGGTTTTGTAAATTCCAAATACTTTGGCAACAGTTCCTGATCCTCATAATTCCTGAAGACAGTATGCCACTTATGAAAACAGTTTTACAAGATATTAGATATAAGAATTTTAATATTTGAATTCCCTTTTATACAAGTCTTACGTTAAATAAACATGCCCACTTTCTAATAGAAAAACTCAATAAATAAGGTCAGGTGAAAATTGACTAGTATCATAATTGAGTGGTACTAGAATCCCTGATCAGAGCTTTGGTGGTGCAGCAGTTGAAGTGCTCAGCTGCAAACCAGAAGGCTGCTGATTTAGACCCACCGGCAGCTCTAAGGGAGAACGATGAGGCAGCCTGCTTTTATACACAGTATAGCCTTGGGAACCTTGGCACGGTTCTACTCTGTCATTTAGGTTCTCTGGGAATTAAGGAACCCTGGCAGTAAAGTGGTTAAAGCAGGAAGCTACCAACTGTAAAGTCAGCAGTTGAAACCCACCAGCTACTCCTCTGGAAGAAATTGTGGCCGTCTGCTTCTGTAAAAATTTACATCAAGCCCCGGAAACCTTAAGGCAGTTCTCCTCTGCCCTATGGGGTCCCTGTGAGTCAGAATAAAAAAATGGCAACAGTTTGGATCTTGGTCTTAGAATTTGAAAATGATAGTGGTGCATGTTCTCTGGATTTGATGCCAGAGCTCCATCAGTGGGTGTGTTAACCATGCTGAACTGATTTCTGCAACCTAATGGTGTTGTTTCTCATTCTAGGTTTAAGTTTATCTATTCATGGGGCTGAAAAGCGCTTGCAAATCCATCAACGGCGAAGTGTGGCAAGTCGCCCAGGATCCCGCCGCCTGCCCGTGGTCAGGCATTCCTCACTCCCACCAGGCAGAAGGTCGATAAAAATGGAAGCAAGCTCTTCTGGAATCACTCAGGGGAAAACCAAAGTCTTCCGTGCAGGTAATGCAGAGACAAGTGCAGCAGGGGCCTTGCTTTGTGCTAAGGGCCTCTCCCTCCCCACTAGTCCCTTTCACCTCAGTACACGCCTCCAATCCAGCAAGAGAAGAGAGAACTTGATGTATCACAGAAGGGGAAGGCAAATTCCATAGGAAAGGCAGAACGAATACCATGTTTTTGTGCAAATATCACGCGTGTCATACAGGTATTTGCAAGCTATGCGGCCCCTCAAGCATTCATTTTCTGTGTGCATTGTGTGTGTTTTATGTGTGTATGCTTTTATGTGGACATGTTATATGTGAAAAATCCTGTCAACTGTTTATTTCAGACAAGCTTATTGTTTCATGAAACGAAACAGAGATCTGGCCTGATTATTTGTTCTAAGATGTCCCAGGGGACATTCCAGCTAAAAAATACCCACTTGGATGCCTGAGTTATCTAGGTGGATTTGGCTACAACCTCTCAAAGCGGGGAGAGAAGACTGGCACCATTATTACTACATTTTAAGATTTGGGGGAAGCAGCTATGGTCTTTGAAGCAAGTTCATTTTATACAAAAGCAGGTCATTCCAGTTCAAAAGGTAGTTCTACTTGTTTGGGTAAGACTTTCAGTGAAATATCCATTCATACTACAAATACTTACTGAGCACCTGCGAATTGCCAGGCATTGTTTCAGATGCTGGGGAAATATCAGCGAACAGGCATCACCATCCCTGCCTGACTCTTGTGTCGTTCCTTGCCATTATATTAACTCCAGCCCACGAGGACCTTGGCACAGGAGAAGAAAACACTGGCCAGTCTGCTGTCCTCCGCATCCTCACCAGCATGCGCAATCCTATCTTTGTGGTTTTTATGTGAGTCTGGATGGTCTCCCAGGCCTTTATGTGAGTCATGGAAGTTTCCCAGGCCATCACTGGCCCTCCACTTCACCAAGCATGACAACCCCCTCTAGCAGTTGATTCCATCTGATGACGAGTCCAGAGCTAACAAACAGGAAAATGTTCTGCAATCCATAAGGTTTTCATTGGCTAAATTTCAGAAGTAGATCACTGCTTCTTTCTTGCTATAGGATCATCAGATTGCAAGAGAATTCACAAATCATTTAGTGTAGCTCTCACTCAATCAGAGTTCCTCTCCGCAATGATCTAGCATGTGACCACCAACCTCCAAAGACTCCTGGTCTCCATCTTTAGCCACACGCCACCATCTTCTCCCTCCGTTAATAACCTTGTTTCCTCACTTCCCTGGCAAACCTAGGGCCCGAGGGCATGGATTACTGCATGTCCCTTTCCCTCCGTTTCCAAAGATGGCCCACCTTTCCTCTTCCCTCCAGAGTTCAGAAGATGAGGTGGGGTCACTCTCTTTAACCACGCCTTCCTAGGTGTCCTCTGGCTTGACCCACTTCTCCTCGCCGGACATTGTCCAGCCGGGTGCATCCTTTTGTTCTCCTTTCTCTTTCCTAATTCCTTACAGCCGCTCTTTCCTCTCAAGCTATTAAGGGCTGACTTCAAGATTGCCCCATCCTTTTTCTCCATGAGACACTGTACCCTCACTCCTGCCACTGTATCTCTTCTGAGCCCAACTCTGAAGGAATACCCCACCCTTGGTTGCTCTGTTTCATTACTTTCTAGCCACTCTTCAGCCCAGTGCCTTCTGCTTTCCAGCTCTTCTGCTCTATTGCTGCTGTCCTCGGTGTCCTCGGTGACCTCCTGTTATACTGTGAAGGGCGTCTGCCACACTCTTCTGTTGCTCCCAGGCGGTGGTGGACAACTCATGTCTTCCCAACATGTGCTTCCCTGGCTTCCCTGTTGGTCTTCTTTCCTGTCTCCCTTATTACCTCTCTCACGTCTAGCTTTCCTAATTCTAGCATTTCTGTTAGCATAGTCCCCTGTATTCTCTCCCTCGCCTCGAATCCTCTAGACCTCTAGTCTAAAATGGTCCATGTCTACCCTTGATTAGGCCATTTCCTTTGCTTCCTTTTTTGACTCCAAGGTAAAATCCAAACCTCTTAGCATGTGAAAAACAGATGCACTGCATGATCTGTTCTCTGCTGTTTCTCCTCCATTTCTTTTCCCATTCTGACATAAACTTTATATTCCAGTATATCAGTCAGGGTTCTAACACAGAAATGAAGTCCATAGGCGATCTACACTGAGAAATGTACTACAATGACTTGGCTTACATGGATATGGGGAATGGCTAGATGCAAGTCAGAGATCCATGACCACCCTCCGGAAGGGAAGGCCAAAACTCAGGCAACAGCCCAAACTGGCGTCCACAGTAGACTCTGTTCTTCCCCAGGAAAGCCTCAGTAGTGCTTTTAAGACCTTTCAACTGTCTGATTTAGGACCAACCAGAGTAATCATCTTTACTTAAAACGAGGTGATAATGAACTTTAATGATGGCTGTAAAATATTTTTACAGAAATACCCTGATGAATGTTCTATTAGGTAACTGGGTATTGTAACCTAACTAAGCTGGCTCATCAAAATGATCATCGCATCTATTCACACAAACTTGAATTCAGTCTGTTTAATACTTCCTAACCCTTCTTCAAAGAAGCTCTCTGGTGGCTCCGTGCATTCGGCATTAGGATACTAACCACAAGGCTGGTAGTTCAAAACCTACTAGCCATTCCAAGGGAGAAAGATGAGGCTATGTGCTCCCATAAAGACTTACAGTCTTAGAAACCTTATATAAGTCATTAAGACTCTGAATCAATTTGATGGCAGTGAGTTTAACCCTTCTTCATGGTATCCCCTGATTCTGTGACATTACCTTTCAACATTTTGAGATTAATTGTTGATTTCTCCATTGTAAGGTGCTGAAGGACAAGATATCTGAATTATTTATTTTTGTACCCTACCCCCCAGTAAATATTTTTAGGTTAGGACTGAACTGAACTTTCATTGGTTGCTTCTTGGACTATTACAGGACCTTTCTAATTGCTCTACCTGCCTTTAATTTGATAAATGTCTGAAAATCTAGCTTAATTTCATTTCCTAAAAGCCTTTCTCGATCACACAGGACACATTTAATATTCCACTTTTCTATACTTCTATGGAATCTGGAAGCTTTATCAAAGTCCATCTATGTTAAGGGGTTTATGCCATTTCATTTCACATGGATCTAAAATAAGCACCTATGGAAGCCACAGTCAAGAAATAAAATAACATATTGGACAAAGCTGCTACAAATGACCTCTTTAAAGTATTCAACAGCAAAGATAGTTGTGAAGGTGTGCCTGACTAGAGCCATGGTATTTTCAATCACTGAATGTGAAAGTTGGATATTGAATAAGGAAGACAGACCATAGAAGCGTCGATGCATTTGAGTGATGATGCATCGATGCATTTGAATTATGGTGCTAGCAAGGAATATTGAAACTACCATGGACTGTTAAAGGAACAAACAGATCTGTCTTGCAAGAAGGATAGCCAGGAGGCTCGCCAGAGGCAAGAATGGCGAGATGTTGTCTCGTGTACTTTAGAAACGATGTTTGGAGAGATCAGTCCCTGGAGAAGGACCTTGTGCTTGGTAAAGCAGAGGGGCAAGGAAAGGGGGAAGGGCCTCACAAAGATGGACTGCCACAGTGACTACACCAGTGTACTGAAATATAGCAAAGATTGGGAAGCTCTCATGTGACAAGACAGGGTTTTATTCTCTGGTGTGCAGATTCACTATGAGCTGTCACTGCCTCGACTACTCCTGAAAACAGTGAAAATAACAGAGTTCTCCTTGAAAGCAGGGCAGGCATTTATTTCATCTTTTGATCCCCCAGCGCTCCTGACCCCATATTGTACAGAGTGGGTTCTTCCAAAATAGTACTTGCTGTTTGTCAAAATCTATACTTCCCATTTTGGAACATGGGTGTTTATTATGGAATTATACAGCGTAAATGGAATTCTTCTTTCATCAGATGATCCTTCCGTTGTTCAAAAGCTCATCCTGAGCTACTTGTCAACGGAAACATTTATTAGTTTCTTCTATACTTCCTCGAATTATATCGCTTTCAGATTCTTTGTTATCCTAGTCGCTCTTCTCTTAGAAAGTCTTATTTTATTATTACCTCTTGAAAATTCACTGTCTGGAATTAAACAACATTCTGTTCATGTCTGATCAGTATAGTGTCAGTCTGTTCTTTTTTTCTTTGACATCTTGTACTGATAGCAGCACAGTAAATATTAAAGGTGGTTATAAAATTTTTCCTAGTGATGTAATACCACCAAGGGATAATTTCAGATTTTTCAAGGCAAGACACTGCCTTTACCTTAAAAATACATCACTACATCTATATATCCAAAATTTATCCTAAGTTCCTGATTCCTACATGCACTATCAGTTGAAAATATAAGCAAAGACAGCATTGTTAGTATAGAATTACAATTAAAAATGGACATTAAAAATTATAATTAGGAACTGTTTTAAAATATATATTTAAAGCTCATGCTATGCGAGCCAGTTAGCATGTGATTTCTATTCCATCTTCTTTTATTTTTAGCATACTTCCATTAATGCATCATAGGTCTCTGTTGGGAGATTATAGAATAGCTCTCAAACCAAGTTTCTTATTTGTAATGAGTCATAGATCTTAGAAGCAGCATGGACATTTTAGTCATATAGAGGCCTATTAAGCCATACATCTACTTTTACAAAGTTAATAATTCCAGTTCCCAATCTGCTCACTAAAAGCCCACTCATACTTGTTGCTAAGTACAAAAGTGAAGAGCCGGAGCCTTGGTGTTCTGTGCTGTGAGCTCTGCACAATTTCTGTTTACTCCCCTTTTGCTTGACACATATTTGCGTGGTATTATGCACTGAAAAAATATTTATTTGGAAGACACCATTTTGGGTATTTAAAAAAAAGTGCAGGTTGATGACAACATATGTACAAGTGTACTTGACACAATGGATGGATGGATGGATTGTGATAAGAGTTGTACGAGCCCCCAATAGAATGATTAAGAAAATGTAAAAAAAAATAAAAGTGCAGAGCTTCACTAA